TTAAAAATATTTCATTAAACCTAAATTAACGTTTTTCAATTTGCATAAATTGTGTTTTTGTTTATTTGTATTGACATGAGACCACGCCCCTGTGTCACTGTGCGGCATGACGTCATCTGTGTGCGTCACTTCCACGCAGGCCTCGCTTCCAGGCGACGCGCCCGGAGTTGTCATCGTTTCACCGGGAGAGGCGAAGGGCATCCGGGATACCGGCCGAGCGGGGAGCCGCTGAAACGCGTTTCTTGAGGTCAGTAACCGGGGCTCGTGTCCGCGGGGACACGGGCTCTGCTGCTCCGCGACACGGAGACATTGTGTGCTTCCGGTTTGGAGAAAATGAAAATCAAAGGTTTTGATGAATCTGAAAAAGAAAGAAACCGTTAGCATGTTAGCCGCGTGTTAGCTAACACAGCCTGGTTAGAGCACCGTGAGTCCGGAGCTCATCGGTCCGAACACCCGCTGACACAGTCGGTGAAACCACGAAGGAAACGGCTAAAGTTAGCTTCTTCAGCTAGCTTCTGTTAGTGAACTCATTTAGCACCCGTCTAACGGCTAGCTAGCTAGCGTGCTGATGATGGTAACTGTTTCTGCTGAGCTAGTCTGCTAATTCCATCACCTGCCTGTTAGCTCTGATGCTAATCACAGGCTAATCAGCTGAATTCAAGTCTGTTGATGCAGAATCAAGTTCCTCTTGACTTGTGAGAGGACACAATGATTGACAGTTCGAGTGGCCAATGATAACTAGCGGTGGCCAATCACAGGGCGGAATGTGCTTCAGGCAGCCAACCGGGGCTTGGCTTCGGCAGGTCGGGGGCGGGTCCAGGCCGGAGGGAGGGACAGGGAGTGGAGAGTGAACAAGGTCAAAACACAGAGAGGCACGTGACACACCGGAAATAACCCGGGTCACAGTTCAGGTGTTTGGATTAAAGAGTCCTGAAGGTAAACTTAACACGAGGTTCAGGTGACCTCACTGTGACTTCACTGTGACCTCACTGTGAGACCTCACTGTGACGTCACTGTGAGACCTCACTGTGAGACCTCACTGTGACGTCACTGTGAGACCTCACTGTGACATCACTGTGACATCACTGTGATCGTGTCCTGTGAAGCAGCAGATTGTCGACTCGTTCACAACAACAGGAACATGTGGGGACGTTCAGGTGAGGGGAGGAGCCTGTAGAGCAGCAGGAGGCGGGACATGACGTCTAAACTCTGACTTAGAAACCTCAGAGACACGCCCACTCGCTCACTGAGAAGGTTCCAGATGTTTTCTCACACGGACTCACTCTGACAGTTTACAGATGTTTCACTAGAAGCTGCAGGAGAAGATCCAGAACACGTCCAGAGACACTGACTCAGACATTTGTTCTGACATCCAGAACCTCAGAACATGTGAGGAACATGTCAGGAACACGTCAGGAACCTTTCGTTTTTTTCTTTTCATTAACATATTAGCAGCTCTTGACTCTTTTCTTCTGGTTTTTAAATCCTCTCATCGTCTGATGTGTTTTTTATTCCTCGGCTCCTGTCTCAGGCTGAAGTCATGAATATGTTTCACTTTCACCTCCGAACATGTTTCAAATGGTTTATTTGGTTTGTTTTCAGAGAAGAACCAGATCAGGAGGTTTTATGGCCATGTCAGGTTCTTCTTCTCCTCTTGTTCTTCCCTTCGTGTTTGATGAGATCATATTTGGGGTTGTTGTGCTGCCTCTCTCTTTCTCTCTCTCTAACACAGTGTCTCTCTCTCAACAGTGGACAGACGGACCAGTGGACTTGTCCTTCATCGCTCTCTTTCCGGGTTGTGACCTTGTGGAGTTTTATTTCCTTCCGTTCTTCTGAAGTTGAGGAACGTCCGGCCCGTCGGACCGACCACCACCTCCGTGTGTGTGATACTTTAAGGACTGCTTATGCATCGTTTAAGGACTTGTGCGGCGCGGTTGCGTCCGCTCACCGCCTCGCAGGCGGCTCAGACTGTTGGCCAGCAGCGGCCAATCACAGTTGCCTCCACAGGCGGCACAAGGACGTTTCAGCCAATTAGGTGCTACTCAGCACCGGTGGCCTCTGAGCCGTTCCTGAACGGGACGAGCTCCAACTACGTGGAGGAGATGTACTACGCCTGGTTGGAGAACCCAAAGAGTGTTCACAAGGTAAGGAGCAGTTGAGCCCCCTACTGGTGTGGAAGATGAATAGCACAACCATTATGAGCTGTTTTCAGACATAAACTCTGGGAATTATTTAGAACATTGGGTTCATGCAGCAGCTGTGCTTAAAGTTTAAATGTTTCTTTGGACATAATTCAGCTTTGGCTACACTTCAGAAATATGAACTGAAGGTTACATTAGATTTATACTCAGGCTTCTCAACAACCACCTCGTATGATGTTCGGAGAGACACCCTCAAACAACAATCCTGGATCTTCACATTTTCCTGGATCAATCATACGAATTCTTCTGGAGTCATGACCCACCCCTCCACAAAATCTCATAGAAATCTTTTCAGAATCTAGTGACATCTAGTGGTGAAGTGTCGTGTTGCAGCTGAATATCCCTCACTTGTCACAACATGTAGAAACGTGTCAGACAGTTTCATCACAGAGAGAGAAGCGTACTTTACGATGGTGAGGACATGACTCACCAACAGGACGTGTATTAATGTGTGTGTACAAATACACACTGTGTGTGTTTTGTAGTTAATCAGCAGTTTTAATCATATGACCTCAGTAACAGGTTTAGAGCAGCAGAGCCATGAAGGAGCCACAGCAGGTGAGAGGCAGCGCCCCCTAAAGGTGGTGTTTTCAGTGATCTGTCTTCAGGGTCACTTTTAACTGAGTGTTGAAGGACAGACGAGCTAATTATAGCTCTGTCACATGACACAGTTTTACTGAGTGAGGAGGTGTCTGTAAAACCAGCGGAAATACGTATATTTATTATCTATATTATATGTGTGTGTGTGTGCGTGGGGGGGGTTTATGTCACACTTGTTATGTAACTTACACACTGTGTGACCTTGCAGTTAGCAGCTTAGCAAACTAACCTAACTGAGAGCTGCAGGACTAGACACACACAGACACACACACACATGCTGAACATCACAGTGATGAAGAGGCTGATGTGAGCAGGATTAACTCAGAGTCACATCGATCAGATCAGAACGACGAGGTGGAACTGACAGGAAGTGTTAGCGTCGCTTTGTATTCACCGCTGGTGGTCGAGTCATGTGACTGATGAGAGCCAATCGGAAGAAGACGTGAGCGTCATTGTTTACTCAAGTCCCAGTTTGTGTTCAGACTAAAACACAAAACCAGACGAGACCAGTTTACACAAGTCTCTGATTCAGGAGAACTCCAGCTGTAACCATAGCAACAGCGATGAGTTTTCAAACTCATACGTGTCAGTAACAGTTCCACCTAATCGTCGCTCCAACAAAAGAAATCTGACTCTGACTTTTAACCGTCACTGTTCCTCGTGAGTAGTGTTTTAGTTTACATCACATGACCAGTGTACGAGAATGGTCATGTGACCTGTGTTTTCAGGTGTTGGTGTGGACAGAGGTTATTTCTGATGTGGAGGCAAAACGCTCGTCTGGACGGAGATGAATTTGAAACTAAAACATTACTGTGGATCTCGTCTGAGACTCAGAGTTTTATGCCGTCATTTAAAGGTTGTGGTTGTGAAGTTGTGCAGTTATGTTGTGTAGTCATGTTGTGTAGACATGTGGTGTAGACATGTTGTGGAGTCATGTTGTGTAGTCATGTTGTGTAGACATGTGGTTTGCCTTCCACCAGACTGAGTCATCCTTCAGATTGGTGCTTAATCATTCCCAGAACAAAGTGGAGGGAGTCTCCTGCAGACTGATCCTGAGCTGAGAGCGTTTGTGAAAGAGACAGAGAATCAAATGAACGTCTCTGTTTTCTGTCTTTGTCAGAACAGACGTGGAAGTTTCTGCAGCAGCTGGTGAAGGAAAAGGTTTTTAATAGAAGAGGTGAAGAGCTGTCAATCACTTTTAGAATAAGTATGAATTAAATTCCAGAAAATGTCCAGAGACACTGACTCAGACATTTGTTCTCACATACAGAACATGTGAGGAACATGTGAGGAACATGTGTGTGGTTCAGTTGATGTCTGAAAACAGCTTTAGTGTTATACTGTCTCACACGCTGCTCCTTCTCTGTTGTTTTATTTCTGTGGTTATTAACATGAACATGTTCTCATTCCTCCTCCTCCAGTCGTGGGATGTGTTTTTCCGCAACGCCAACGCGGGCGCTCCTCCTGGTGCAGCCTACCAGTCTCCTCTGGGTCTGTCTGCGGCCTCGTCGAGCCTCGTCGCTCCTCAGCTCTCGTCTCTGGTTGGAGCTCAGCCTAACGTGGAGAAGCTGGTGGAGGATCACCTCGCCGTCCAGTCGCTCATCAGGGCGTACCAGGTGCGATTCCATACGGCCGCTGATTCTGTGAAATGTTGTCATCAATATTTATGGATCCCTGATAGATAGTCAATGATTGATATTATGACAATAAACTTGTTTTTTCCTGCAGATAGTCCCATCACATGGAGCTCATTAGCGCCACCGTCTGATCACTGAAAACACTGTTTCAAATGTTTTCATGGTATTATACAGTTTCCCATTGTAATAACATAAACATGAGTTTATTAATAATAACACGTTCTGACACGTGTCATCGATGTTGAGAAACGTTGATTCCAGGTGTCGTTACTGGAGGTCATCACGGGTCACATGTTACCTGTGATGTTAAACACGTCAAACACCATGTAAGTATGAAACAAGATAAGAAAGATACAACTCGACCTTTTCGTTTAAAATGGAAGTGAGGTTCACCATCTTAAGGAAGTGTCATGTGATCCAGACTCACAAACAAGTCAGTAACTAATCATTCACATTTCTAACTTAACTCTTATATAAGATAAAATCAGCTGTTAAACTGAAAACATAAAGGATTCAAATAATACAACCGACTGTTTATTTTTGCATGAAGACAGTTTAACTCTCAGCTCTACGTGAGATCACGTGAAGAAGCAGCTAAACTAGCGTGAGCTGTTCAGAAGATATAATTAGACAGAACTCAGTGAAGGGTTAGAATACTAATGTGTTGAAAGAGGAAGTGACCTCACATTACACAAATATTTAAATTGAGAGGAACAATTCTATCATTGGCTGTTTAATGGTCACATGAAGGACTAAACATTAACCTCTGACCTGACGGTGATGTCATTTCCTGGAGAATCTTCAAATACTTCATATTAGATATGAAAATGTTTCTCTGCTCATCTCTTCTCCCGCATGTTAAGTTTTTCCCCATATGTAATAAATGTTATGACATCATACCGACGTGATGAGGTCGAAGTCCTCGACTTTCTGCTGCAAAAATTATTAATATTTTTTTTTTTAATTTAAATTTTAGCTCGATTTAAACATGAAAACAACATTATCCTGTTAGTTTGTGTCTACCAGCAGATGGCGTCTGTTTTCAGAAGGTAAATAACTGAAACTAATATATTTACCCTCGACAGTGAAGTGAAGGCAGCGTTACCATAGCAACAGATAAACGATTATGTAAAGTTGATTGTGCATCAAACTTCACGCACAAGTGACCTGTGAGGACCTCCAGTCGTCAGGGCCATCTGTGTGATAACCAGGCGTGTGTGTGTGTGTGTGTGTGTGTG